ACATGGTTTGTTAGTTGTAACAGATTGTTACTGAGTACATGGTTTGCTAGTTGTAACAGTTTGTTAATGAGTACATGGTTTGTTAGTTGTTATAGATTGTTATTGAGTACATGGTTTGCTAGTTGTAACAGTTTGTTAGCTGAGTACATGATTTGTTAGTTATAACCATTTGTTACTGAATATGTTTTTTTTTATCTGTAACAGTTTGTTAGTGAATACATGTTTTTTTAGCTGTAACAGTTTGTTTGTGAATACATTGTTTTTTAGCTGTAACGGTTTGTTAGTGAGTACATGGTTTTTTAGCTATAACGGTTTGTTAGTGAGTACATGTTTTTTTAGCTGTAACAGTTTGTTAGTGAGTACATGGTTTCTTAGCTGTAACAGTTTGTTAGTGAGTACATTGTTTCTTAGCTGTAACAGTTTGTTAGCGAGTACATGTTTTTTAGCTGTAACATTTTGTTAGTGAGTACATGGTTTTTTAGCTGTAACAGTTTGTTAGTGAGTACATGGTTTTTAGCTGTAACAGTTTATTAGTGAGTACATGGTTTTTAGCTGTAACAGTTTATTAGTGAATACATTGTTTTTTAGCTGTAACAGTTTGTTAGTGAGTACATGGTTTTAGCTGTAACAGTTTGTTAGTGAGTACATGGTTTTTTAGCTGTAATGCTTTCTTACATATACCTTGTAGTACTGTTCTTAAGGCTTCTCTGTGTATTCAAGGTGTAAACATTATATATTAAGGTTTCATGTCTTAGTTAAGGTATCATGGTGGATTTTTATACTTTTTGTACTGTTTTCTTTTACACAATCACACTCAAAGAGAGTTCCAATGTTGTATCCTCATGGTTTTGTATTTCTTAGTTTGCCATAGTTAATTCAACTGTATTGTGCTTCATTATTCCACATTTTAATGTATTTTTTTTTATATTGCCTGTTGGTTCCCAATGTTAGTTCATATGTAATGTATTCTTATTAGTTAATAGATTACTTCAACTGATAAGTATTCACTCTTGTTCCATTATTGGTGGAGAGTTCATACACTCTGTTGTTGAGGAACATGGGCAAGTTAAAGCCTTGTTACTTTCATCATTATTATTCCTTAATGAAAGAGAAATTATAAATTCCCCTGCCTACTCTCAAGATGTTTGTAAAAACTCTTCAGTTGAGTGGTTGGGGTGGTGTTCTGAACTTGAGTATTGTATCAGTGGTATTGAAGTTAGATGGCTTATCAGTTTTATCTGACTACTTTATGCTGTTAATGTTAGCTCTGTATTCTTGGCGTAATTACTTTTACACCTTTCTCCTTTTTATAATACATCCTCTATCAACTAAAGGTGTCATCCAGAGTACCTATTCAGCTTATTTAGGACCCTCCATAACAGTGTCTTGACTTGTAAAATATACAGTATGAATAAAAAACTACTAGTTAATATTTGATAAATACATGATATGCATATAACACGTTTACCCTTATCTATATAACATCTGCTTACATTTATCTATGTAATACCTGTTTACAGTTATTTGTGTGTGTGTGTGTGTATATATATATATATTATCAATGTTATATATGTTTACAGTTATCTATATAATACCTGTTTACAGATATATATGTATATATATCTGTATACATCTAACTATGTTCTACTGTTTACAATTATATATATAATATCTGTTTACATTTATGTATATAATGTATGTTTATATTTGTGTATATAATAACTGTTTACAACTATTTATGTAACACCTTTTTTATTTATATTACACTTATTAATGTGTAAACAGTGAAATGTGACTTGTTGATACGTCTTCAAGTGATATCGTTAGGTATTATTTACTATTATTCTGTGATTTAATGTCTCTTAGTGACCATACTGTTACATTTCATATAATAATCTTTTGAAAACATGTTTGGATCAGCTGTTCTCTTGTGACCCAGAAATCAACATGGGCTTCCTGAGTACATTTGAGTGAAGTCGTGTATTGCACAAGTCGATTGATAATTAATTCTGCAACAATGTAAAGGTGTTGAAATTTATAGTCAAGATGTCACATCCTGTTACAGTTAACTATTACAGAAGTTGAGTATGCTATAGAATTTTTGATATGCAAATCAGCAAGTCAAGGAACATGAAGATGTGTTCAGATAGTGGATTCATAATTTTCAAGACTGGGATATACTTTTTTACATAATGGCATTGAAAACTGAATATGTATCAACTTGGGGTCCCAGGCCCATCCTAAAGAGACCTGCAACAAGTCGTATCTCAGCCATGTTGAGCAAATTGTGGTGTCTTGTAACAGGTGAGGATACACGAGCACAAAGGTTGGTGGCAAAAGTTGCCCCGTACTTCAACAACATTTACTCAATCTTAGCCTTGGACAGATGGATCATTAATGCTCTCCCAGTAAGAAACAAGCTGGCTTTACCTAATCTTAGACTTAGACAGATGGATCATTAATACTCTCCCAGTAAGAAACAAGCTGGCTTTACCTAATCTTATCCTTAGGTAGAGGGATTGTTACTATTTTGCCAGTAAGAAATAAACTGGCTTTATCTAATCTTATCCTTAGGCAGAGGGATCGTCACTAGTTTCCTAGTAAGAAATAAACTGGCTTTATCTAATCTTATCCTTAGGCAGAGGGATCGTCACTAGTTTCCCAGTAAGAAACAAGCTGGCTTTACCCAATCTTATCCTTAGGCAGAGGGATCGTCACTAGTTTCCTAGTAAGAAATAAACTGGCTTTATCTAATCTTATCCTTAGACAGAGGGATCGTTACTATTTTCCCATTAAGAAACAAACTGGCTTTACCTAATCTTATTCTTAGGCAGATGGATCGTGACTATTTTGCCAGTAAGAAACAAGCTGGCTTTACCCAATCTTATCCTTAGACAGACAGATCATCAATACTTTTCCAGTGAAGGTGAATCGATCTTATGACTAGTGTTTATTGTCACAGGTAGATTGAGGTTTTGAGTTTCATTTCAGACTGGCTTAGTTGGTTATTAACTAAGAGCTTAATTAAGCTGGGTACAGTTATAGGCTTGTGTATCTTTTCAACATTTTTGATAATCTCATTCTTAGTGCTTCGGAAATATTATAGAGGTTGAGTACCTTAACTAGATTTGTAAAGTTCCAACAAATCTTCATTGATAAGAAGATAGCACGAGATTATCATGAGCTGAAGTTTAATTATAGTCTGAGGCGATGTCAGTTTCAACTAGATACGATAAGGTTATCGTGAAAAGAATATAAGTTATAATTCTAATGGGATGTCAGTTTTACCTAGATATGATAACGTTTTAATTCATGGAATGTTAGTCTAAACTGGTTGTGATAATGTTGCCGTGAGCTGAAGATCAGTCATAACTTCGATAGAATGTTAGTTTCAACTGGTTATGAGAAGGTTATTGTGAGCTGAAATCCTGTCATTACGTTGTCGGGATGTTGGTTTGAATTGGTCACTACATGTTGGTTTGGTAAAATATGTTTTCTATTTATGTATGTACTCTCAAATACCAGGTCTTAAGCTTTCATGTAGGAATGTCGCAGGTAGACCAACAAGGGAACATCTTGGCTTGGATGTTTTAGTAGTTAATACTGTAAGCTGTTGAAATAGTGACTTTAACAAGTTGTCTTGGATGTTTTAACAGGCAAGGTGGTAAGCTGTTGAAATAGTGACTTTAACATGTTGTCTTGGATGTTTTAACAGGCAAGGTGGTAAGCTGTTGAAATAGTGACTGTAACATCTTGTCTTGGATGTTTTAACAGACACGGTGGTAAACTGTTGAAATAGTACTGTAACATCTTGTCTTGGATGTTTTAACAGACAAGGTGGAAACTGTTGAAATAGTGACTGTAACATCTTGTCTTGGATGTTTTTAACTGACACGGTGGTAAACTGTTGAAATAGTGACTGTAACATCTTGTGTTGGATGTTTTAACAGTCACGGTGTTGAAGTAGTGAGTTTCAATTATAAAACATGCTGGGTTTCATAGAATGAGGATTAACTGAAACATTAACAAGTGTGGGTGGTAGTTCTTGTATCGTAATGTAGGTTAAACGATAAATCTTTGTATGAGGTTTTGTGAATCTGTATTATTATGCTGTTCAAACTACTGAACATGTAATCTTATTTTTACCGACAGGTTAGTTCTTCAGACAAAAGTGTATAAAACCAACAATGGGACATAATTCAGGCTTAGCACGAGCTCCGGTTGTTGTCTTCCGTCACCATGGCAGCGTAATAACGTGTTTAACCCTGAATGTGCTGTTTTATAATCCACATGTACAGGGCACAAGGCCGTGCTTTTGTCATTTAGTTCTTGTGTTCGATCGTACTTGGTGCCAGTTGAGTTCTTGGAACTTAAGTAGGGTACATGAATTGTAGATAACGTAAGATATCCGTATTGATAGAGAGCTCGTATTTACATCATAAGTTTCCTTCAATCATTGATCCCGTAATAATTATACATTTGATAACGTGTCACTCACTCATTTGGCATATTGGATTCAATTTGCTATGTACTTCGTGTTAAACCTCTTACACTGGTGTTTTAACATGGAGATAGTTAATTTCGTGTGGCAACTTCGTGTTTAAGTTTTCAATAAAAAGATGACACAATTAAAAAAAAACTTTCTTTTTACACCACACCCTTGTGTGTGGTTCCATACCTAATAATGAATCTTTTATTCGTTAAATCAAAGGTTCCCAAACTTGGGGCCAAATACCACTGGAATCATGGGGGAGGGGAGCATAGCAAATACACAAACTTGTTAAGGTACTCAGTCTCTATTGGTTCATCAGATAGATGTGAAATGTTCTTGTGCTGAGAAAGTTTGGGAACTCTTGCATTGCATCATTAAACATACTATTGTAAGAAAGGTTTCGCAGGCCTTCTTTATTCACGTGGAACACCATGGAAGAACAGAGTTTACGTGTGGTGGTTTTCGTTTTTCACAAATGTGCGAATGAATACGGGAAATATAAGAAAATAATAAGGAAAAAAAACAAGCGTAAAACGACCTTGAAGTTGAAGTGCGTACGTCGTATAGATCCTGTATTGTGACTGGGTTCGTGATTTATACCGAAATATTTATTTCTTTTTGTAAAAAAACTACAAATGTATTAAACACTTTTATTATGTTTAATCATTTCTAACATCTTACAAAAGTTCTGTAAATTATATGTAGAAGGAACGTACATGTTACATTAATAACGTGTTACATGAACAGTATCATTATATTATATACATGTTACATTAATAACGTGTTACATGAACAGTATCATTATATTATATGCATGTTACATTAATAACGTGTTACATGAACAGTATCATTATATTATATGCATGTTACATTAATAACGTGTTACATGAACAGTATCATTATATTATACACATGTTACATTAATAACGTGTTACATGAACAGTATCATTATATTATATACATGTTACATTAATAACGTGTTACATGAACAGTATCATTATATTATATGCATGTTACATTAATAACGTGTTACATGAACAGTATCATTATATTATATACATGTTACATTAATAACGTGTTACATGAACAGTATCATTATATTATATGCATGTTACATTAATAACGTGTTACATGAACAGTATCATTATATTGTGTACATGTTACATTAATAACGTGTTACATGAACAGTATCATTATATTATATGCATGTTACATTAGTAACGTGCTACATGAACAGTATCATTATATTATAGCTATTTATAGTACGATTCAGGTATTCATTTATTATCTTTATAAAGAGTAGTTTTGTCCTACTACTTGACTCCACACGTAACCATTAACGTGTTACAGTAATTTATCTCAGATGTCGAAGCTACTTAATGGGTCTTCATTGTTTTTAGGTAGGATTGTATAAGTGTGACTTTACGTGGTCACAAGATGTTTTTAGGTAGGATTATATAAGTGTGACTTTACGTGGTCACAAGATGTTTTTAGGTAGGATCGTATAAGTGTTACTTTACGTGGACACAAGATGTTTTTAGGTAGGATTGTATAAGTGTTCCTTTACGTGGTCACAAGATGTTTTTAGGTAGGATCGTATAAGTGTTACTTTACGTGGACACAAGATGTTTTTAGGTAGGATTGTATAAGTGTTACTTTACGTGGACACAAGATGTTTTTAGGTAGGATTGTATAAGTGTTACTTTACGTGGTCACAAGATGATTTTAGGTAGGATTGTATACGTGTTACTTTACTTCGTCACAAGATGTTTTTAGGTAGGATTGTATAAGTGTTACTTTACTTCGTCACAGGATGTTTTTAGGTAGGATTTTATAAGAGTTACTTTACGTGGACACAGGATGTTTTTGGTAGGATTGTATAAGTGTTACTTTACTTCGTCCCAGGATTTTTTTAGGTAGGATTGTATAAGTGTAACTTTACGTGGTCACAAGATATTTTTAGGTAGGATTGTATAAGTTTTACTTTACTTCGTCCCAGGATGTTTTTAGGTAGGATTGTATAAGTGTTACTTTACGTGGTCACAGGATGTTTTTACGTAAGATTGTATAAGTGTTACTTTACGTGGTCACAGAATGTTTTTAGGTATGATTGTATAAGTGTTACTTTACGTCTAACATTAAATCAGCGACAGTACTAGAAGCCAACAGCTAGCGTCTGTGTGTTCCGCAAGTGTATGATGTACTGTTACTTTCATCAACAGAATTGGTTAGAATGTTTAATGTAAAAAAACTTGATTAGCCATAGAATTGTAGTCTCTTATTATTATACTTTTGCTTTAGAGAGTGTTTTGGATTGTTAGCTTATTATATGTGTTTAGGACTAAAGTCTCCTAAGCTGGCCGAATCTCGTGGATATTATTGGTATTACGGCCGAAATTATCGTTAACAACGAACGTACCCAGTTGATGGAAGAAGGAATTCTAATTTTTATGTGTAAGAACGTAATAAAGATATATTTACTTAGATATTCACATTGGTTGTTAATTTGTATCGAGAAACACCAGGTGTCTTTCGTATTTTTCTTTTCATGTTACCATGTATCAATTTCTAATGACCCAGTGTGATTATAGCGTTACCATAACAACAGCCCACAACCGCCATACAAAAGTCCTCACCAGCTGCATCATTGGTTGTTTTGTGTTTGTCGAGAAGTTGTGTACTTTTCACACACTTGAGTTCAAACACATCAACTATAGAGGAATTATTTGTTGTATTTTTACGAGGTTTAATAAACTAGCTGTAACCTTTCACGTTCAGGGACTGATAAACCTAGTAATGGAATCTGTTTAACAATTATGGTAAGCCAGTAGAACAATTTGTGACATACGTATTTTTATTTCTATGACACTAGAGCAGATGATGTTTGTCTTGCTCACGGTAATCACAATAATAAATTTTGATTTACTCAGTTGACCTACAGATCAAAGCTATATATGAGTCTCTCCAGATTCCTTCAGAAGCACAGTGAAGACATTATCTAATCAAAAACACCTTAGGTGGGGAAAAAAAATGTGTTGCCAAAAAAGGATTGAGTGTGCAACTTAAAGGAATGAAATCAAAATTGGCGACCATACTGGAAGCTACTCGTACAGCATTGTTAAAGATTTTACAGCAAATATTCAATCATTAGCTAACCAGTCCGCGTATTTTGTTTTATTCATCCTCATGCACGAAGTAACACAGTGATGTTTTTAAGAACTTTGTCTGTAGATCATCATCGTTACAGTGGTCATCCTAGGTTTAAGGTTGGTAGTAACACAATGATGTTTTTAATAACTTTGTCTGGTAGATCATCATCATTACAGTGTCCATCCTAGATTCAAAGTTGGTAGTAATACAGTGATTTGTTGAAGAACTTTGTCTGGTAGATCATCATCGTTACAGTATCCATCCTAGGTTCAAGGTCTGTAGTAACACAATGATGTTTTTAAGAAATTTGTCTGGTAGATCATCTTTACAGTGTCCATCCTAGGTTCAAGGTCTGTAGTAACACAATGATGTTTTTAAGAAATTTGTCTGGTAGATCATCATCGTTACAGTGTCCATCCTAGGTTCAAAGTTGGTAGTAATACAGTGATGTGTTGAAGAACTTTGTCTGGTAGATCATCATCTTTACAGTGTCCATCCTAGGTTCAAGGTTGGTAGTAATACAGTGATTTGTTGAAGAACTTTGTTTGGTAGATCATCATCTTTACAGTGTCCATCCTCGGTTCAATATCGATGTTTCAGATGGAACTCGCGACTAACTGATTTTATCGTTAAGTGAGTATTGACATATTAGATAATAACGTTTTATAGATGTCATTTGTAAGTGAAGATATTTTTCAATTTGTGGTTCAGATCGATGTATGAGATAAGTATCGATTTCTTCAGGACTATTTTAACAGGAAAACTTTGATAGACGTTGCTCGATACATTAAGGTTAGTTAAAACTACATATGCAGGTTTGACGTCTTCACTTCTGAGATTTATTTGGTGAAGTTTTACAGCGCCACCTCTCTAGGAGTTTATCTCAACTCTTATATTCCATCCCTTTCTATAGAAGTAAAGCAAGAGCTTCTCAAAAAAAGGAAGGAAATGTAGGGATGGTTAATATCAATCCTTCAAAAACAATGGGAACAATATAGTATGGATGACATTTGCATCATCCCTACATAATAGTACATCCCTACTATCTTGTTGGCATTGTTTTTTGAAGGATTGATATTAGCCATCCCTACATTTCCTTCCTTTGTTTTTTTTTTAGAAGTTTTTTCTTTGCTTGTTGTTTAACGCAGTGTTTCAATAGACACAGGAAGGTTGTATTTATAACCACGTTCTAAGTAAAATAAGGTTCCAAACTGTAATATTTATTGTTTACATATTATTAGCTAGTATTTCCTGTTTCTACTTGTGGGTTAATGATAACATCGTTTACAGTAGAATTATAATTTCTTTTTGAATTACCACTAGTTATTAATAATACTTATAAAATCAGATACATCGATTGAAACTCTCATCACAGTGAATTTAGTTGATACCATTGTTTTGGTTTTGAGTTATCATATAAAGAAGAAAAAAAACAAGAAATTCAAACTTTTTGTTATGATATTTACAGACATTCCCTTAACTTGTAACTCAGTCATTACATGGGTATAGTTATAAAAGGAAACATTGTATAGTATTGTAAAGTTCTGATGATCTATTGAGGAGATATTTAAAATGCCATTTCGATGAACAATCCGAGCCATACCTACATTGGTAATGCTGCCACCTGTAACGTCTTGTGTTTTAAATCATCTGTTGAAAAATTTGTAAGTCCAGTCAATTTAAAAAAAAATACAAATTATTTTATTTCTTCCTTTACGCTTTTAAAAGCTTGAACGTTACAATTATGGTAACTGTTAGTACACTTTTGGAAATGATACTAACTGCACTACACTCACGTAAAAATCAACTTACTTTTACAAAGTACTTGAATATGTGCGATAGCTAGCAGAGATCCACACTTACTGATTCACTCTACTGCCTAAAAACAACTATCTTAAATGTCTTTTTAGCTATCCCTCGACTATCTTCTCAATGCTCTGCTGACTCCTATTTATAATCTACCCTTGAATTTAATGGGAAACCTGACGTCAAATATTTAAAACTTTCTAGGCCTATTTCAATGTCATCATTATGGCCTGCAGCTCCCTATAGCTAACATGTAAGTTGCGACGTTGAAAATATGGCTTAAACCATTATCGACACTCTCGAGCTTGATTTTTTTCTATTAACATTCAACTTTAGAAGTACTCAAGAACAACAAAAATTCATGATGTAACACACCCTTCCTTTTATTTGTACATCACGTTAACCGCAGAAAACCCTGTAGGTTCTTTTAACACTTCTATAAGACCCTATTAGCACTTTCAGCCCCTTTTGGTATAACAGAATTATATATAACTTTGTCTTCGTTCAAAAAGAATAATATCCGACAGTCCTGCAATTTATGTCTGGGTGAAACCTTAATATCAGTCAAAGGTCAATCAATTTAAGTAGCTGTTAACACATCGATGAACGAGGTTATTGAAATGACTTTG